CGAGCGAAGTTGACGAGCTATAGTGGGAGATTTTCACTTTATCACGAGGAAGGTAAGTGCGTTTATTTATATATTCTACCTTTATGGAGTTAAGTGTCATGAGTCAGACAGTTTTTAATAACGTTAGTTACATTACTTTAAACGTGGCCACTAAACGTAGCTAATATAAATCCATAAGCAGTTGGATACTAGTATTAGTATTAGTTGATGAAAGATACATCTCCATGGATGCTTGAGAGAATTAATTTACATTTTGAAATAAATCAAATCTATGTTGTCATCATGATGACTGGTAAAGTTGAGTGGATGAATTTACAGTTTAATACAGTAAGATACAGAAATATATTAAATAAACAGAAACGAGACTAATGTAAAAGTATACTTTCATTAATGTAACGTTACTGTCATTAGAATGACTTGCCAAAATTATCTGGTTGATTCATTTTAGGGCTGGATATTAGCAGACATTTTATGATTCCATTCAATTTTAATTCACGTGCTTTCGATTCGATTTCCAATTCGATTTTACATTTATTATTTTAATGTAAATCAGGTGTAATACATGTAACATTTTCTAAAACTTTCTCTCTATAGTTAATTTTTCTAAGTAACGAGTTTAGCTTCATTTGATCTGAGGCGCCACATTAAAGAGTGATAAAATGGTATTAAAATGGACTGAATTTGAAATCGGAGACTGTTTCTTATCAAAAGTAACAAGCCTCAAAACCTCACTGATCAACTATTTCTGTGTAAAATGTTGTATTTATTGATATAGTCTACAGTCTGACAATAATGTACTGTATATAAAGCATATCTATCTATCTATCTATCTATCTATCTATCTATCTATCTATCTATCTATCTATATATATATATATATATATATTTATAAATACATACTAATTATGTTGTCTGGAATGTTTTCAGTCAACATGTTAAGAAAGAAGAGAATAAAACCTGAGCAGGATGCAAAAGAACACATATTGTCGGGCAAAGACAAAGCCTTCATTGAGGGACGACAAACACCACAAGGCAATTTGACTATGTTCAGACTGCAGGCAAATCAAATCATAAAGTAGGCATGCACTTGTAAGAATGAAAAGTAGGCCTATTGCTGGCAGTCTGGACATGATCTTTCACATTCACACATTTTACCCTTGGGTAAGCCGCTCATTTTCATAAAGGTTAAGAGATGAAAAAAAAAACTTTAAACAATTTTTTTATAATTATTATTTTAAAATAAATACATAAAACTATGTATACAGAGAATAGTGTAACCAAAATCAACTAGTAGGCTATATCGCAGTGAAAACCAATGCTTGATTATTTTTTTTATTTCCTGCACCTCATATTACATTACACAGTTTTACAGGATTTAACTCTTTAAAAGGATAGGTTGGTTAGCTGTGTAACATATAGGTGCACTTGGATTCATGTTTTATTTGTATTATTATATATTATTTTGCCCTTTCAGGGAGAGGTGTGTTTGCACTTGAGCACATTGAACCATCCACCTTTGTTGTTGAATACCGTGGGATTCTCTCTCAAAGTAAACATGTTAAAGATGTTCAAGGCAACTACTTGTTTGACTTCACATGGAATGGAACACGTTATTGGTAAGCTGGCTGTTTCTTTTTTGGTTTATTTATTTTTGGTTCATATTCAGAGCAAACTAGTTGCATGTCATTCTAATAAAAACAGTTATAATTATGATTTATTATTATTACTATTATTATTACAATATAGGGCTGCACGATTTGGGGAAAATGTCATTGTGATTATTGAGGTCAATATTGCAATTGGAATATGCGATTGCGATATAATAAACAAATGGTTTCATGAGTCAACTTGCTTGGTTCTAAAGCAAAATGCACACACAGATTAGTGATAATTCTGAAATGTGTATTTCTCAACTCAAACTAGCAACAACAACTAAATGATTGATAACATCTAAGCCATTGATGTCTGGATAAAAATTAATCCACCCCCATTTAAAACATTAATTATAGCCATCCAACATTACAGTGATTCCATCATTACAATTGAAAGCTATAATTTTTTAAAAAACATTTATTAGACGTCAAAAAATATAACAGCTTTTAATTTAAGTGACCTTCAAATAATCCTCACATAAACCCATTATAAATGACATGTCATATTTACCTGTGCCCTTCCTGTCTAACAGGTATGCAGAAATTTAATAAAGTTATCAAACAGTCTGCGACTCTGCGCTGCATAAATAATAAATAGACTAATCCTTATTAAAGCTACATAAGTTCTTTAGTCAAGAGCAGTGAGTAATTTTCTCTGTCCCCTTTGTTCTTTGATTAACTTTACTGACAGAAAGCTTTGGCTGCCGGCCCTTTAAGAGCAGCCGCTGCTGACAGAGACACGGATCTCACATGCGCCTCATCCTCTCACAACTCTATACGTCCATCATAAGACTGCTCTTATGTTATGAAGATACTCGACAAACGACATTTTGGCATAATTGTGTGTGTTGTTGTTCGTTCAAGAGCGAAAGAGAACTGTATTCTGGCGCGTGTCTTTCTGTGAGTCACAGTCGGACATTCAGCGCGCTCTCTTTTGACTTGTCTCGCATGAATGGTTTTAAGCAATCGCATGAGAGCATTATCATGTAACACTAGCCAAAGGATGACAAATAATAACAGATGCTGCGTTAATTGCGTTAACAGCCCATTGTTTATTTTACATAAAATCGCAGCATTTTGCGCCATATAATCGCACAGGCTTGACATCGCGATTACGATTGCGATAAGATTAATCGTGCCGCACTATTACAATAGCAGATTTGCTAGGGTTCTCATAACATTAGGAACTTATTAGTTAGTGATAATCAATAACATGGTTATTGTTCAACTGGGGTATTATTTTTTTTACCTTAAAGGAGTCATAATGTGCAATTTTCACTTTTCCATGAGAATCAATGTATGTTATGATTGACTAACGATTATACATTGGCCGGGATGCCGATATTCAAAAGTGAAGCGTTTGTTTACCCCAGGGTTCTTAAACTAGCCAACGTGCACGCGCACTCAAATACGAGATTTCAATTTCTCCCCCGACATGACGTCAAGACGGGGCCGGATATACCATATATGGACACCGCAGAGGAGGCCCGCCCTGCCCCTCTCCCCATCATATTCAGTCAAGAAAGATGCAGAAACGTAGTGCACACGTGAGTTGCTCTGTGTTGACTGTCATAATCCACATTCTAATGTTTTTTCTTTACCCAAAACTGACCAAACTACAAGGGACAAGTGGATGAAATTTATTTTTAATGACGCTGTTCCAACAACCATCTCAACTTGCTCAACGTTAGGTGTCTGCGCTAAACATTTCACAAAAGATTATTTTACAAATTTGGGGCAATATCAGGCGAAGTTGGCATCGAAGCTACGTTTGGAAAAAGGTGCCATTCCAACAATCAGGGACTTGCCTGAATTTGAAACGGTAAGACTGTGTTTTTATTACTATATTATGTGTAAATAGCAGCTAACTACTAATGCGTTAGTGTATGTGATGTAAACACGGGGAATGGACTCTACGAATGCTAGCCACATCTTTCCACTTTAAAAAGACTAGAAAATGATACAGCTATTATTTAATATAATCGTATACAATATAACAATGACAACATATCATTGTATTGATTTTTTTATATAATAGATAAGGATAGATACATTTAAAAAACAGTCAAGAATTAATAAACATAAAGAAAAACATAACGTTACATGTCTGCAGATGAAAATTATTAAATATCTAAAAAACCACAACGTCAAAAAAGGCAAAAACAACACATTATAGCAAACGTTAATCTCTATAACCACTGTAAGCTGAAAATAAAGTAGACTACATCTCCGTTAATGTAATCTACATTAAATTAAAGCTAAACTTATGTGGGAGAAAATAGCAAAAAAACGTTTTAGCTCGTTACTGATGTTAATGTATGTCTCAGTCAAAAAAATTGTCTTTACCATTCAGAGACATGTTGATGTAGACGTCCTTCTATTGACTGTTGTTACTCTTCCGTTTCCATTTCTGGTTCAGAGTCTGGCTCCAACATATACGGTTGAATCCCGTAGGTCGCGGCCGGGTCGGGTTCATTAACAACTTGCGCCATGATCTCTTTTTGGAATGATATGCTGAAGTTACCTGCGGTGTCAAGCCCCCTCCTTCCTGCCACCAATCAACGCGCCCCTCATTTGCATTATTAAAATGACCGTCCACGACAGCCAAAACCTCGCATCAGATCTCGCGAGACAATAATGCATTCAGAAATAAGGGTCAAACAAGCTCTGTGTTTATTTTTTTCCAATTTTTCTTTTTTAGAAGGGCATGAAATGACTATAATAGAGCGTGGGTATCAAAGTTAATACTACATTATGACTCCTTTAAGTGGATCATCTGACCTATTAAATTCTTAGGAAGTCAAGTTAACTTTCACAATGTGTATTTGAATATAGGTTAAATAGGCCAAGGTTAGCCTAACCCAAATGTTCAGTTAGAACCGTATGTTTCAGTGTGTGTCTATGTTTTAAGTTTCTTACTGCACTATTTTTATCACAGCATAGATGCAACAAAAGAGGACGGTGGAGGAATGATGATGACAAAAATCCAAATTGCAAAGTCAAGACAATCATTGTTGACGGAAGGCCACTCCTGTGTCTGTTTAGTATAAGACATATCTTTCCAGATGAGGAGGTCACATACAACTATGGGGATTCCTCTTGGCCTTCGCGTTTAAGGGTGAGTCTCTTAAAGACTTTATCACTGAAAGTCAACCATGTTCTGTATTTCATGAATGTTAGTTTTTTATATGATGCAGATTATTAAAAAAAATTCTGCACGTCTGCTTTGTGCATGACGGAGCCATGAAAGGGACACTAGATATTTAGTCTTTGGTTGATACTAGAATTAGTTGCGGTGACCGATTGGCAAGCATCCTTGCCTCAGTGTTGTACCTGTCTTTCTCATAATTACAGGAATTGTGTGACGAGACATCAGTGGCTGTGACTGAATGCAGTGTGAATCCTTCCTCATCAGTGAAACAGAAAGTAAGTGAGCGCATGTTCCTTCATTGTTTTCTTCTCTTTGACACAGGCAATGTTAAGTGTAGGATGGTTGGGCATCATGCTAGACTGGTTGACGTGGACTGTCGTCTTAAAGACGCTGTTGTGACGTCTCAAATTCGAGTAAAATGTACATTGCTCGGTTCATACATTTTCATAACTCGTGCGTTGGGGGATGGGCATGACACTGACCTGAAATATAAGGACAGTTCTCCACTACGAGGACCATCATGTCAGGGTTAGGGTTTGTGGAAAAGATGTTGCTTTGGGTACAGTTGGTACTCAAGAATAATACTTTTACCGCCGCCGCCCCCGCGGCGGTAAAATTCGGATGTGTATTTGCTGCCTTTTACCGCTAAGAGGCGCTACAATCAAGGTGTCAGTTTATTCTCTCTATTGCGTAATCTACCGCCGCGCCGCCACTCATTCAGAGCGATTGAAAGCTGGTAACAGATGAATTCAAGTGAAACATTGTAGTTAAACGAATTCATAATCGCAATACTGAAATTAAATTGAATAAATAGTGAAAACATTACAACATAAAACATTGCAACAGAAATATATTAGGCTATCAATGAGGGTCTGGAAGAGCATAAGACGTAATTTAATAGCGTTCAGACGGTAGCTCAGTGGTTAACGCAACAACATGAGCCTCACGGAGCTTCAAGCGATCCGAGATCGAATCTCAATGTAGCCAACTCATCTCAATGTTGGCCGACTTTATGTTTTACCGTTCTTGATGCTTAAATAGGTAACTGTTTATTAGCGAGTTCATTAACTGTTTATTTATTTAATGTCAAGCGTTTTGTTTAATTATCAATGCCACATTAACGTAAATTTGCTACATTCCATGTCCGCTGCACGACAAAGCTGATGAGGGAAATGAAAATAAATAAAAAAAGAAAGCTGATCGCGTCAGAAAATGAAAATAATGAAGCTCGTCTTTAATCTGCTAAATTATTGTTTTGTGAATCATTCACGAAATTGAGTTGACTGACAGTGATACCTGGCCATAGCAACGGGAGAAATTTTTCAAAACAGATCCATACATTGAACAAATCAGAAAAGACTGATTTTGTTGACTTGACAGACTAACTAAATAGTATTACTTTCAATATAAAAACAAATGAAAATGTAAAAGAACACTACAATTAATTAAGTTTGAAACCCATCGCAAATTTTGAAGAATGTAAGAAACACAGAATCTTATTCTTGCAACATTTTAAATTTGTATTGTCAAAGGAATTTCAGCTAAATTAAACAATTAAAACAGTACAAAACGAAAATAGTCCAAAGCCACATAAATTAAGAACATGCGTTTTTCTTTGCCTGTCTCTCGCGCTGGATCTCTTTTTAGCAAGTTTATTTTGTCTCCCTCCCTCCCTCCAAAAAAAAAAAACTGTAACAAATTATTTAGCCTTTGTTGCTTCAAAGACAAAGCATGCCTTGTTGAATTCACCTTACAATAAAACGAGGTTGATCGCGAATTAAAGAGCTCTGTATCTGCTGTGGCATGAATGTGTTTAGTCAACAATTAATGTTTAGATAATGCCAGATTGTTGACAATCATACACAGTGCTCAAACATTCTAAAACTCTAAAACTCTACAAAACCAGTTGAAACAACTGGATTGAACACTTTAATTGAAATTTTGTGTGAAAACTTTAAATACAAAAAATAAACTACAATATTTATCATTTAATAAGATATAGGGCCTACATTTGGACACACCGGGAGATTTATAAGAATTTAGCCTTTGCCTGCAGGCTGGCTATCCGACATCTCCATATGAAAGAGGAACATTAACACCTATTGTGCCGATAAAGCCACTGTCCCTCCAACCCCCCCACAGGCTCTCTGAGACTGACTTACAACAAAAAGAAGTCGCAATTCACACTTAAACCGCTATTCTAGCATTAGACTATTAAAGTGTTGATAATGAAGGAATTAAATAATGTAAGCTACATGTAGTGATATTTCTGTCATGAAACATAATTACTAAATATTTCATTTCAATAATTCATTCAATTTCAATAAGTTGTTCTTTTTTATTCAAATAAACCTCGAACCACAGTGCTTCGTTGTGCTGCTGTTAAACTAAATAACATTTATAGAATAGTTATGAACTTAAATGAAACAATATAGCAACATTTCGACAAAAATTATTTGATCTGCTTTTACATTTTAATTCAGGGCGATTTAGCCTACATTTAATTAGAGCGAGATTTTCCCCCTTGTCCTTTCCTCGTTGGGAAGCGCTCACATCATAGCTAAACATGTTTGAGTAGATCATCTGTACCTCTCAGTTTCAGATGGATTACATAATCAGATAACATTTATTAAATATTTAGACAATTAAAGGCTTTAGACATAGCCGATTTCTTATCGTGACTGAGCTGAGGCAAGTGGTTTTCGGTTCATTTTTGTGACGCGCAGTTCCCGGAGACAGAGACGAGACGACAGCTAAAATGTTGTTAGCCTAATATGAATAGAAGTTTACAGTTTTGAACGATGTAGGCAAAAAATACGGAGTAGCCTATTAAGCTATTTTAGCTGTTATGAGAAAAATAAATCCAAATGAACGCGCCGCCGTGTTTGTCGAACTCTAATTCAACATGCCAGAATAAAACCCGACTTTAGAACAATAGCGCCACTCGGCGTGGTGTGCCAAAACACTTAATTATAAACTTCAATATTTCATTCAAAATAATCTCAAAACGCTTTGTGACCTTTTGGAAAAGCCGTGCATAGGGCCTACATTAAGGCCACTGGAACTAATGAACAACTGAAACGCTGGTTTTGATTTTATTGTTTGTCGTTTAAACGTGCCTGTTGCATATCTCTATTTTATATATTGTATATGGTATATTGGTGAAGTAGCCTATAACCTATAGGGAATCCCAAAAATTTATATAGGCTATAGCTATTTATAAATTACGATTGGTATTATTATACAGATGTAAAGTCATTCTGTTGGATACTATTTGTTCCAGTGTAAAATGGAAATGCTTGGCAATTTTATTTTATAAATATAAGCAAAAACTATATGGTGTAACAGAGTTTTAGAACTAGACAAATCTCTCTGCATTAATAATCGGATATAAAATGCATTAATAGGCTAATATAAAATTTACAAAAGTACCAAGTTTGTTTGGGATTTGAACCCGTGTCATCTAAATGATCGAACCGTAAGTTCTTCCACTCGGCCATGATTTTACTCTTTGTGAAATGACCAAACGTTTGTTTCTCCAGTGTGTTCGTTCACATGAGCGAGAAAACGTTTTATCGTTAGCATATTGTAGACCTTTTACAGTTTAAAAAAAGATGATATCTTATCTGTATGACCAAAAATTACGGAGTAGGCTAGCCTTTTAAGTTCTTTTAGCTGTAATGAGAAAAAAATTAATTCAAGTGAAAGTGCCGCCGCGTTTGTCGAACTCTAGTTCAACATGCCAGAATAAAACCCAATTTTAGAACAATGTGTGCAACGTAGCGCCACTCGGTGTGCCAAAACACTTAATTATAAACAATCAATATTTCGTTCAAAAACATCTCAAAACGCTTTGTGACATTCTGAAAAGCCGTGAATGTATTAAGGCCACTGGAACCAGGATCGTAACTGAAACGCGCTGCATGTTATCTCTCAATACAGGAGCAGAAGCGCCGGTTCAGATTGTATCGTTTGTTGTTTAAACGTGCGTGTTGCATATTTTTAAAAATATATAATATATGTGATATGGTCTATTGGTAAATTAGGCTATAGCATTGATTACTGTGGAGGGGGGAAATCCCCCACCAGCAAATCGCACCTTGTTACACAACCATGTTTTTAAAAACTCTTTCTGTAGCCTATATGGAACCCCATGAAGTTTTTTTTTTCTATTTTTTTTAACATAACTGCTTTTGAAATTATGATTGGAATTATTATACAGATTGATATAAATTAAGTCAATCTGTTGGATAATATTTGTTCCTTTGTGTAAAATGGAATCGGTTCATTCATTTTCATAACTCGTGCGTTGGGGGATGGGCATGACACTGACCTGAAATATAAGGACAGTTCTCCACTACGAGGACCATCATGTCAGGGTTAGGGTTTGAGGAAAAGATGTTGCTTTGGGTATGTGTCGGCTGCTTCTTTATTGTGGGTAAGCTGTAGACCCAATATGCACTCTTTTCAATCTGGATATGCTTTGTGACTTTCAGTCACAGAGACGTAAACTGTTAAGGCCCATTCACACCACACTCTGGAATGAAAGTTGTGCTATGTTCAATATATGTTGATTTAATAAATAATTTTTGTTATAGTGCCACCATGAAGTTCACAGTGCTGTTATCTCCAGTTTGGATTCTTGTGAAGATTGCAGTGGACCTGTGTCAAGTCGAAAATGGCTTGGCCTTACATGCAAATGTCAGTATCTGCATCATTGTTAGAAACCCAGTCATACTATTGAATGGTCGTGCAACACTCTCTCATTTTCCCCTGAGACGAGAGAAATCCGCTATTTACCCTTTTCACTTCCTCCTAAAATCGTCATTTAACGTCATTGTAGGAGGAAGTGTAAGAGGGGGGGATTTCTGTAAAGACTACAAGCTCTAGTTCCCACCCTTTCAAACCCGCCCATAGGGGGTTGGACCTAATGCGCTAACAGACACATCACTGATCAGTGCCGTGCGTTTGATTTCACCGGCAGAAACTTTTTCATTCCAGCGGTGCCAATTTCTACTGTACGATATCGAGATAAAAGCCGGAAGGAGGAAACTTTCACGGTGAAACTAAGTCGTAGCTTTCCTTGCTGTGCTGTGGATCGTTAATCGAAACCTAGAGGACTATGGCGCGCGCCGCTGTGTGAGAAATAAATAAATAAAAGTGGAACGCAGTGTGTGTGTTAAGCTCACCCTACGGTTTTGATATTTGCACTAATAAAGTGTGTAAACATTCAACTCAACTCAACTCAACTCAACTTTATTTATATAGCACTTTCAACACCACAAGTGGAACCAAAGTGCTGTACAGAAGGTATAAAAAATTAAATAAAAACAAAGACATAAAAACAATGCAAACATGACATACACAACTTACAAAGCATTATCAAATGCTAAAGAGAACAGATAAGTTTTAAGCGCACTCTGAAAAACACCCAATGAAGGACAAGTTTTTACAGACAGAGGAAGCTCATTCCAGAGCCTAGGAGCTGCAACAGAGAAAGCCCGATCACCTTTACATTTTAAACGGGATCGCGGAACCATGAGAAGCAATTGATCATTTGAGCGCAGAGATCTACTGGATTGACAGCGGCTGATTAAATCAGTAACATACTCAGGTGCTAGGCCATGCAGAGACTTAAAAACATACAACAACGCTTTGTATTGAACTCTGTATCGTATGGGTAACCAATGTAGTTTAATTAACACCGGAGTAATGTGCTCTCTCTTCTTAGTACCCGTTAAAAGCCTGGCCGCTGAGTTCTGAACGAGCTTTCTCAGTCATGGATTCGCTCGTTATGGATGAACAAGATAGTGAAAAACGGACGGTAAAAATGACTGAGAAAGCTGTGGAAGAACACTAGTCCAGACAACTTCATGCACGCAGGTATAAGCTATCTCAGCTAACGAGCATGATAAAGCAAATAATTAGTTCACAAAGTAACTCTTCACTAGAAATTGTGTGAAATGATTTCCAGGCGGTAGGTAGTGGGAGTGGCCTGCGGAGCTGAGCATTGCAATGCACTATGGGGATTTTTGTCTACAATCCACAAGCACTAAAAAGTCATTTTCTGCCTTTTATCGGCCAAGAAGGACCCAAATTAGAAATGTATGCTACTATTCTACTACATATATGACCCACTTTCAATACATATTCATGTCTCAACCGGTGGAATTACCCTTTAAACAGAAAAAAGAAGAAAAAAAACACCATTATTAACCAGTTAATGGTCATTTCAAGTAATCGTTTCTGGTTTTTCCCCAGTTTTTGTTTTCATTCTTTGAACTGGTTCAGAGCCCTCATATTTACATAATAATAATAATAATAATAATTATATATATATTATATATACCTGTTTGCTGTGTAGAGAAGATGAATAGTGTGTTGCTTTTTTTCCCTTAGAAAAAAACAAAAATGGGCCTGGGTGAGGCTGACAGCTCCACAGGTATGTGCATGCGCATATATTTTAGATATTTATTTGAGAAAAAGGATACATGTTGATTTTATTTTTTATCTTCCACAGTAATTCAGTGTAAAGTGGTCCTTTTCATGTTACACAGGACCAGAGACTAGTTTTCCCTGTGTGCTTATCTGCTGATATTTCACATGGTCCGAAACTGTTTGGATCGTAGGGCTGGAATACATTTTAATTCTTGCTTTTTACCCCTCAGGAAAAAGCCAAATGAATCAGGATGAAACTGAGAACTCCAGAGGTATTTAAACATTTGGGTATATTAAAGTTATTCCATGTATATACATATAGGTGTATAGGTATACATATGTGTATGTATATGTTTGTTTGTTTGTTTGTTTGTTTTACAGGGACCAAATTGAGGAGAATTGCGAAAAGGCCATGGAGCCCAAATGAAGTGAATGCTGTCATGAAACATTTCAGAGTCCATATTTCTAAGGGACACCTTGCAACAAAGGCAGAGTGTGAGCAGTGCAAGACTGCAGAGGACCCTGTTCTGAGAGAAAGAATGGCCCAAAATATAAGGGATTTCGTGAGGAACCGAGGTTTGATGTTGAAAAAGAAATCTTCTTAGAGTTCTTCGAGAGATCAGTGTCGCCTTCCATTAAAGGTTGTATCAGCGATTTCAGGCCCAAATATAAATGATCACATTCATCTAATTTTTCCTAACGATCCGCTAGCTGCCCGCTCCATAAGCATGCCGTCCAAAAACCGTGTCTCTGTAGGCAGCCTAGGCTCTGAGATCTGCACACAAAAGGTGGGGGTGTTGTGGTTTGAGATTTTGCGGTGATTGGTTGGAACACTGTTTATTTTGGTTTTGAGTGGTTGGTGAAACCCATTGTTTTTGTGTGCAGATCTCAGAGCCTAGGCTGCCTACAGAGACGCGGTTTTTGGACGGCATGCTTATGGAGCGGGCAGCTAGCGGATCGTTAGGAAAAATTAGATGAATTTGATCATTTATATTTGGGCCTGAAATCGCTGATACAACCTTTAATGTCTGTGGGTTTTGTTCTCTAAAGTTTTGTTGGGCCAGAAGAGTGTTCAAGACATCCTTTTATTTACTTTTATTAAAACACTGTTTTGAAAGAAATGTACAAATACATGCATTTACTGGAAGGCAATTTAATTTGGTTTTATTTCCAGTGTGTTGCTGAGGTCATTTTGAGGCACACTCCCTCATGCACTTTAGTCCCATAATGGTTAGAGATGCACCGATTACAATTTTCTAGGCCGATTCCGATTTTTCCGAGTTTGACCTGCCGATACCGATTTTAGCCGATTCCGATTTCATTTTTTCTAACCACTTTACAGCACACACAAATATTTATTTTCTATTTTTTTTTTTTTATAAAACACCATATACTTCTACCCAAACTGAATAATAAAAACAAGTTTAAATGGGTGAATTTTCTATAAATATTTTTGAGTCTTCTTCATTTTCTTTTCTGACATAGCCTACTCCAGTTCTTGTTAAAACACACTAGACATGCAAATTCTGTGCATTTTGGGCACTTTTTGTGTGAAATCATATTTATTTTGCCCATCAAAAAAAGTGTGCTTTCACTTTAATTGAGTGTGAGCAGCGCAGCAAAAATAGACTCTGTGCCGAAACCGCTTCACTGCTGCTCACGCGACGCTCCTGCTTGACGCTCTGCTCCCGCTCCCGGTGTGATGCATTCACTGATTAACATGCACGCCGAAAAAAATACGCGCCTCTCACGCTTGCGGTGTGAAACGGCCGTAATTCACGAGGTTTTCTACATGTGCGTTCCGTGTGCACGTGTGATGCTGATGTTAATCATGCTGCGCCCGAGTGCGTTTGACCGGTATAAAATCGGCATATGTCAGACTGACCGGCCGATCGCCGGTCATGGCCGATCACGTGAAAATCGGCCAATTCCGGTCCCAAGCCGATCAATCTGTGCATCTCTAATAATGGCCTTATTAGATCTCAGTTGTTGAGCCTTTTTTTACCATTTGCAAAATAAAAATTGCCCTTTCAGTTTAATTTTGTTAGTTTTTATTGGCTGTCTAGTTGCATTTCTTCATCTAATTGCCCTTTAACTAGTCTTCTATGAAGTGTAAAACTTGCTGATCTTTGATCACTGAATTTTCTCCAACCAGGTTCATTTTGCACCACATGTGTATATGTTGGTTGATATAGCAACAGCACATTGTAGCACTATTTCCTTAGGTGTGCGTATTACTTTTACAGGTTTAGTGGCAGCAAAAAGATGCACAATAATTTGTGAATTCACTCTTTAATGTAGAATAGTTGATTTGGTTTAGTATGGTTAACTCTAATACAGGTACTCCTGCTATGTGTGGAGTTAATAGTGATGTCCATTTAAACCCAGTTTGTCCTCATAATCAAGGGTTAGTTAGGTGTTTGTGTGTGTTTGAGAGTGTGTGAGTGAGGTCCAGTTAAACCCAGTTTGTCTTCATAATCAAGGGTTAGTCAGGTGTTTGTGTGTGTTTGTGAGGTCCAGTTAAACCCAAAATGTCCTCATAATCAAGGGTTAGTTAGGTGTTTGTGTGTGTTTGAGAGTGTGTGTGAGTGAGGTCCAGTTAAACCCAAAATGTCCTCATAATCAAGGGTTAGTTAGGTGTTTGTGTGTGTTTGAGAGTGTGTGAGTGAGGTCCAGTTAAACCCAAAATGTCCTCATAATCAAGGGTTAGTTAGGTGTTTGTGTGTGTTTGAGAGTGTGTGTGAGTGAGGTCCAGTTAAACCCAAAATGTCCCCATAATCAAGGGTTAGTTAGGGTTGTGTGTGTGTGTGTGTGAGTGAGGTCCAGTTAAACCCAAAATGTCCTCATAATCAAGGGTTAGTTAGGTGTTTGTGTGTGTTTGAGAGTGTGTGTTTGAGTGAGGTCCAGTTAAACCCAAAATGTCCTCATAATCCAGGGTTAGTTAGGTGTTTGTGTGTGTTTGAGAGTGTGTGTTTGAGTGAGGTCCAGTTAAACCCAAAATGTCCTCATAATCCAGGGTTAGTTAGGTGTTTGTGTGTGTTTGAGAGTGTGTGTGAGTGAGGTCCAGTTAAACCCAAAATGTCCCCATAATCAAGGGTTAGTTAGGGTTGTGTGTGTTTGAGAGTGTGTGTGAGTGAGGTCCAGTTAAACCCAAAATGTCCCCATAATCAAGGGTTAGTTAGGGTTGTGTGTGTGTATGCATGATTCATATGGTTACTGATGTCCAGTTAAACCCAAATGGTCAGGAATGTTCATTTAGATACTAATAACAAGTCTTGAACAATCTTCTCTTTTTACATTAAAGGTGCCCTTGAATGTTTTTTATTATTATTTTATAATGTTTCCTGGGTTACCCTTATAATGTTAGTATGTTTTTTAGATAAAAAATATTCATAATTTAGAAATAAATGGCATTTTTCCTAGCCTGCTTTTAGCCTCTGATTTGAACACTCTGTTTGAAGGGGCGTGTCTGCTGTGGGATTCAGTGTAACCGCGGCCACTGCTGTGATTGGCTGACATGCTTGCATATGAAATAGCTACGCATTACATGTGAAACTCTCTCCCGAATACTTTTACTACTGCTATTATACGTTTTTACTATAACAGCTATAGAGATTAACGAATCGTGAGATGTTTTTAAAGTATTTAGATCTATTCCCATCACATAAAATGTTGCAGTGATGAGCATTGAGCAGATGACAGTGTTGATCGCGAGACTGAAGATCTTATCATTGTAAAGCAGTTTCTGCACTCTCTCTGCTTTCACCAATGCAAACACGATGATGTAAATACAGTAAGAGCTTCGTTGTGCAGTAACGTGCGTCATTGATTTCATAACGAGTTTGGCAAGTGTCCAGATAAACTCGCGCTGTGTGGAAAGATTGTTCTTTCTGTATATAATTTGTTCACAATTTAAATACGATTATTTTCATCCTACTAAAAGAAACGATGTGAAGCTGATATTTTAGTCACTGGCTTGACTTACTGATGCATAAACAGTATTGAACGATTTTGAGAGAAAGATTACCTGTCTGAACTTGAACAATTACGTATCAGAAAGTGTTGCTTGGTAGCTCGATCCGAGGCCAGCTCTGTATTGGCCCAAGTTGAGGAAACAGTCGGTGAAATGTTTGGAAATTTCCAGAGAAAATAAAATTAACCCATTGTTTCTTCAGAGGCTCAGATAAAGGAGCTAAAAAATACTTTTGTGTTCATGTGTACATCCACACTGAGCAACTGCCATGCTTCGGCTGGGCAGTTCCGCCTGGCATTATGCAAATATTTGGAGGCGTACATATTAATGATCCCGACTATTGCGTCACAGTCGGTATTGTGTGGAGAACCGACCGTTTTTCAGGGGTGTTTTTCATAAACGTGAATTAAATGAGAACGCGAAAACAGTCCAGTTTGAGATTCACTCTATGTCATGTCCATGCACTGAACTCTTGTTATTTGACTATACCAAGGTAAATTCAATTTTGAATTATAGGTCACCTTTAACAAAACCCAAACCCAATCAACTGGAAATATTTAGCTTTATTCAAAACTATCTTTAGACAAAACTTCTTAATCTAATGAATAAATTAAGACTGACATTCAAGGTTCAATTATGAAAAATATTTGTGGGTGAATGCATTTGTCAGTGATGGTTAAATAGTAAACTCTCCTTTTGGTTTTTTAATTTCTTAATTTTTAAAGCTAAAATATTTCCGTATTTCACTTTCCTTCTTCTCTCTTTGCTCTTCACTCACTTCACACCTGCTAAATCTCACATTACAAACTCAGGTTAGTTTTCTGAAATCTCTCTTAAAGTTTAAGCCAGGTTGAACAATTGCTGATAATTTCTTGTTTTGTTTTTCTATATGCTGGTATTGAAACAAACTTAAGTGATGTGGCACTCTCATGGGTAAAGTTAGTCCAGGTTATACCAGGTTAGTCCTCATAATTAAGGGTTAGGTGTGTGTGTGTATGTGTGAGATGTCCAGATAAACCGGGGTTGTCCTCATAATTAAGGGTCAGGTGTGTGTGTGTGTATGTATGTGAGTGATGTCCAGATAAACCAGGGTAGTCCTCATAAATCATAATTAAATCAGGAAACGCCCACTCCTGCCCTGTCCTTACAGTGCTTTAGTTTGTCAGGTCTTCATATTACCAGACTGTTTCATTAGAATTAAATTCTGAGCAGTCAGATTTTTACCCCATGCCATAAGGAGCAGTTTAATATTTATTATTAATCTCTATGACAAAGGGAAAGGTGGGTCCCCATAAACCAGGATGGAACTTTTTAGGGGAAAAAGTCTTTATAAACCACCCGTACCAGTATGTGTGTGTGTGTGTGTGTGTGTGTGTGTGTGTGTCTGTGTGTTGTCCCCGCATTTAAAGATGGGACCCCCCAAAAATTTAATTTAATTAAATAAAGCAACATGGTAAAAAGATGAAAATGACTTGATTT